CGGAGCGATCCGGCGAACGGTAGGGAGGCCCAGCGGGCGGTGGACCAGGGTGGATCAGCCGAAGGCATTTCAGAGCGGTCCATGGCAGTCCACAGCGGTCCAGCCGCCGGTCCAGCCGCCGGTCCAGACCGTCCAGCGGGCGAAGATTACCCGAGCCAGGGTCCACCGTCCCCCTCCCCTCGTCGGCGGGCAGTCTCCATTCAAAAGCAATATTACAAACCCTATTTAATAGTCGCCGCCGGCCGCCCCCTACAGATAAGCTACAATTAGCCATCGTCACTCGCTAATCCAGCGCTGCCCAGGACGGGCCGCGGCGCGCCAGCCGGTGCGTCGCCTGTTTACCGCTCGATAAACGGGGCACGCCGTCGCCAGGTACTCTCAAAATGTCAGTCGGGCCGGGCACCAGGCTCTCATTACGGGCGGCCGGGCGGCCGAGGGCCACGGAGCGCGTGCGCGTCGGCACGACCGCGCCGCCACGTGTCGCCGCCCGACCGACTCACACCCGGCGAGCGCGCGTCAACTCCGGCTGACGCGCATCCTCGTTGGGTCAGGTCAGGCCACTGCGTGACGTCATCAGGTGATGGGTCCCGCCTCGGGTCGGATCCCGGCCAGCAGCGCTGCGCCTCGGTGCCACGTCGTCAGCGGCGTCCGGGCGTCCCGCGATACCCGTGCAGCCTCGGCGCGACGCCTCGGTCCGCGCTGCCGTGCGCTGCCGCCCGGCGCGCAGCACGGGCCACACGCCGCGCACGTGGTGCACGTGGCGGTCATGAGCGGGCACCCGCGGGATCAGTGGCGGAGGCAGGGTGGTGGCGACGAAGGCGAGGGGATCGGCCCGGGTCCGCGGGGAGGGGTGGCGAGCGAGAGAGAGATCGATGCGGGAGGAAGCGGCTGGTCGCTGCAAGAGGGCGAGGCGTCGCCGCACGGACCACTGGTCGATACGGCGATGAAAAGCCACTGCTGGGGGGGGGGGGGCAGAGTGGCCCCCAGTAATCGGTGCACCGTAAGACTCGGCGTTTGCTGGCAGTGGGTCGTTCTATTTCAGTACTCGTGAACGCACAAGACGCACTCTCTTCAGTCAAGGCTCAGGCCGCAGGCAAGCAGAGGACGAACGAAGTTGGTGAATCCAACACAAGGTTGGGACCTCGCTGGCCGCGCCTCAGGAGACATGGAGACATGGAGAGGACATCGCAGATTCCGTACTCCTGTCCGGATCGCACTAATGACCATCGCCAGGCACGCCGACGCAGCCCAGCAAACCGATGGCATAGACCTGCTCCATCCAGTCACATATTTATGGATGGCTAACGACCCCATGCCGTGCGCGTCCGTGAAAAAAACACGATCTTCCTTCGACACTGTCATTTGAGGAGCTACTGCGACAATGGGACTTTGACACATCCAAGCTTCGATCCTGGATACGCCTTTGTACAGTCTCGAATGCGAGACAACGATTAACCGACACCGACCGCCGTGCTATTGCAATAGCTTTCTTGCCAGAACGGTGTAGTAAACGTAGCCCACTGCAGTATCCGCAAAGGCTTGCCTTGCCTGCCCTCCACACCAGACAGCAGGGCCCTGCAGAGGCGGCCAATTCGCCAGGTGCCCGGGAACTGGCGGCGGGAGGACTCCCCCTCGCCCCGCCCCCCGGGACATTTAATCACTGCGTAACACGGGCAGCTGCGATCCTCGCGCCCGCAGCAAACCACGAAGCCACGCAGTGCCTGGCAAGCAAGGGACGGCATCGCGCCAGCACCAGCCGCAATGCATCTTTTGAGTTCGTTGATGCATCACTGACACATAGCCGATATAATCTAAGGAGCGCACGACTTCTGGACGGGTGACAGACCATGTCACTTTATGTCCTATGTTGGCTGATGATATCTGTTAAGGGGAGCGTTCCACGTTTCTATGAGGTTTTGGACTGAAATAGTCATCGTGAAGATCATGCAGTGCGGTTCACAGCCTTGCCGCTCATAAGACCTAAACCCCTTTAGTTTCTGAGCTAAACGCTCGCGAAGTCAGTGGATTTTTTTTTTTGGGGGGGGAGAGAATATTTCAATGCTACCTTGATATTCATAAAATTATAAAAACGTTATTCAAATCCTGTCATTTCATAAGACTTGCAGCGATCAAGGACAATAAAATTACGACTGTCGAGACGTTCATATCTGGCGTTAGTCAGCACGATTTCCAGATACAACGGCCGTCAACTGGCCCTCAACCAATTTTGTGCAAGGTGTGATGACGTTATTCAGCAATGACGTATTGATGACCATATTTATTTAACAGAGAAATTGTGTTGCCTACAGCAGTCTTTTCCACTTAAAGTATGACATTAGTTATAAGTGAGCATGTTTCATCCTATATGATGTTTCCTTCAATATCTTCAGATGTGAAACGTTCCTTCAACATGATTTCATGGAATCAGTGACTTTCGACCCTAAATGGCTAATGGCAAACTACATGGCGACAGCACGCTTCAGTCAATAGATACGGCGGCTCAGCGGACCACGAGCGCCCAGTCTCCCTCTGGTTGAATGTTTGTAGGTACGCAGTTACACCTGATCCATCCCGCCCGATAGAACCACACACTACAGCTGGAACGAAACCTGAGCAGTCAGAAACTGGAAGCGCTCGGGGCGTAGGGTTCGTTCGGGCGTGTTAATCAATATACGCTGATAATTCGCCCAGTCGCTATTTTTTTTTCAGCTGGCTCAACACGTCGGCATCCACCGCGTGAATCACGTGTGGAAGCACACGTTTACGTGGAGGACGGACCACGCCGTGCACCCTACAGCGACCACGGCGACGGACCACGCCGTGCACTCTACAGCGACCACGGCGACGGACCATGTCGTGCACTCTACAGCGACCACGGCGACGGACCACGCCGTACACTCTACAGCGACCACGGCGACGGACCACGTCGTGCACTCTACAGCGATTTCGTCACGCGCGCCGCAAATGGCACATCGTAGGCATTCGCGAGATAACTTAGACTATGGCTGGCAAAAGGAGTCCAGCATCTGCACCCCTCCCCATCTAGCATACCAACACAGAGACCGACTCGGTCACGACTTCGCCAACGATCCGGGAGTCCATGGAAAATTATCTATTTTTTGACATCGATCTGAATATTTCCCCGAATTGCCTATCAGCACCGACAACTTTCTGCAATAACTTTTCGTGTCAGCAAAACCAAACGTGATTGTCGATAATTGGCCAGGATTCCTGCTAATCATCCCAAATTAGCACGCGACCGAACGCGCCCCGAGCCACAAACTGCATGCCAAGGCAGACATTCGAGATACCATATCAAACGACCAACCCTGCATGGACTCGCCGCCGACAGATGAAGAACATAAGGCATTTTTCACATTTCTGTCAGTTTAATGCAAGATCACAGAGCCCTGTTTGTTCACCTCCGCAAGGAACTTCCAAAGTCTAGCCTACAGATTCAAGGCCAAAAACAGCTGTGCAGAATCGTTCCATGCCCCAGTCCACGCCGCCCTTTGCGATAAAAAACCGGGCAAGGGGCACCACCAGGCGGCCAACGCCGGGACGGAGGGAAATAACACCGCTGTGACATCGGCACCAAACTAGGAGAACGGTGGAGACACACCACAATCTGGACATTCCGTACGGCATCAAAGGGCTCAGCTGAAACAATCAAGGTCGCACGCCCTCCGTCAGGGACGTCGTTTTGTGCAAATGGGGGAGCCGAGGGCCCGATCACCCGAACCCACACTGACAAAGGCAGTGATGGAAAATACTGACCGAACCACGGAGATTTGCGCATTACATGCACCGTTCTAATCTTGCCACCACTCAAGGAACTATTAATAGCACGTGCCCCAGGTGAGCCCTTTTGGGAAGAGGCAGATCTGCACGCCTGTCACCTCGCCGATAAACCCTTGCGCGCGCCCTCGCGTCTGATTTTGCGCGCCACCTGGCCAATGGCATTCGGTGGCACCCGATGGCCGATGGCACCCGATGGCACCCAATGGCCGATAGCACCTGATGGCACACGATGGCCGATGACATTTTTCAGGTCACCGAGGCTCCAAAATCTCGCCGTGTCGACTCGGGATTTCAGGGGGCCCTTAGATGACAATCCAGAGGCATCAGATCCAGAGAGTCGTGGAGCTTTCCGACGCACTCAGCTGCTGAGGCTACATGACGACGGCTGCCTTTCGCCCTGGCAGGAAGAGCGGGCCCCGCGGGCAATCGAGCCCCACACCTCTGGTCTCCCTGACGTGCAGTGGTTAACGCAGACCTATGGACATCCTGAGCCGGAGAGTGAGGCGGTTACGGGTGTCCGTCCTGTGGCTGATGGTGCGCTCCACGAAGATGTGCTCCAGCCAGGTCAGGGCCACCCTCGGCACGTGGGCAGTGGCCCGGCATGCTGGGACCACGTGTCCTCGTCGCCGCCATCAGGCTCCTGCTCCAGCTGCCTCCAGGAACACTTCGGCTCGCTGACGGGCCACTCGTGCGCTGTCGCCGTTGGATTATGTGCACTTATGGAAAAAGATGGTTCCTGGGGCCGCTGGA